GGGTTATAACCTTTTGAAGCAATTCAGTCGACCAACTCGGGTCCTCGGTGGCCCTTTGAAAATTGTTATCGTAGTGGAACCTACTTTGGGCATGTCTAACTTTCTTCCTGTTGCTATACACCTATACCTACTCTGAAAGCTCGAAGGGCTTCTACCAGGAACGTATAGAACCTTCTTAAGCGAAACTCTTTTCCATTCCTGTATATGATTATATACACAAGCATATATAAATTATATATATATATATACTGGCTGACGAATTCTATCCGAGTTACGTTTGTATTTTCATGTAAAAGAGACACGTGTGGGATATCTTTTTTTTCTCATTCAAGGGATGCTTCTTGGAATCGATTACAATCCCAGTATCAGGTATTATAAAAGCGTCGCGAAAAACCCTGACATAAAGCCGGATAACGTTTTTCTTATAAAAAAATTTGTAACAAGAAATTTGTTTCCTTACAAAATTTATACTACTTAGCTATTCGGTTACTTCTTTTTGTCATTCTAATTATAAAAACCTCAGTACTTAGCACGGTGTACTTACGTCTGACTCGCGTCAAGGATGTTGGGTAAATGCCATCGACATTTGTGCGTCTACACAGACAGTATTGATTTATCGTTGAACTGAGACAAATCGATGAACTGAGAAGATACGACATTGACATCTCATTAGCCATCTTTACTATTTCAGTATACGTATCCACTCACGTGTCTAGTACAGATAGTCCTAATCGACAGTCGGTAAACTGGGACTGGTTGTCAACCCCCCATTTACGTCACTGTTAACTAGACTATGCACTGGTTTAACTATAGCACACTGTGAGAAGACTGATTAAACCGCATTCTCAATGACGGTGGTCCTTGGTTCCGATTTTGAACGTTAACGAACGATCTTAGCCGAAATGACAATGTCACGTCACAGTAGAATTCACGACGGCTACGTTCATCGGCCTCATTAACGTCATTGTCTTCTTCGTTACCGACCAAGGCGGCTGCCGGCATTTACGAATTCACGTAACCAGAGAGGCACACGCGGCGAATGTCGGTCGACAGTGCTGCCACGCCCGATGAGACGGGCACATTGTTCTCAAGTTATTGTTCGATTATATGCCGAGTCTACAGCGACCTAGCGGAGTCCAGTCTCAGTGGTAGTAACGGCATTGTGCTTATCTCTCGTAGACACAACAAACCTCGCTCCGGCGGCCATGTTTACATTGGCGCGTAAGACATACCTGGTTTTTTGTTCCTTCAATTCAGACCCTTCCTTTCGAATTCCTAGAAGACTTATAAAATCGAATGACAGCCTCGAAGGTTTCAACAGGCCCTGACGTGCCGCCTGGGATATTCCCTGTGCGCCAACCGACTCATCCGTGACGAAAGTCAGCCATGTTTTTTCTGGCAAACAATACCGGGACAATTCCGCTTGTGCGAATGCCAAATGCACTCTTCTCTACGACGGATATCTTGTGCTAGGAAGGTTGGGTAAGGTCGGAAAGTCTAAGTGGGGAGGACACTGAGGAATGGAGTTGGAAAATGGCTTCGGGAAACGTTCGAACGATCCAGGTGGAAAACCGAAAAGTTATATTGGGTTTGAAGTGCTCTTAGAGGAATGCTTGATAAGGAGAACTATTATATAGGTATATATAACCTATTATCTACTACCATTTACTATAAGTGTATATATGCTATGTGCTACGTGAGTGTTATAACGCGCAACGGGACCCGAATAGGGCGAACGAAAGTTCAGACTATGGCGACGCGCTGGTAATGAGGAGACGAAAGCTACAGATCGTTACGCGCTTCGCTACGTTGGATGCACGTCAACTGAAGTTATCGATCACGTTTAAATATTCTTATCAGCTGCCACAAGTCTCTTTAATAATTCATTCGGAAAGTCTTGTACCGTCCATTTATAATGAGGCTCTGCGCGGCCTGTCTCGTGTATACCTAACTCGTTCCCTTATTTTCTTCTCGTTACCTCTTGCTACAGTTCAGCGCGACATCTTTGATGCCTTAATTTGTTTTTCTTCTTTGCAATTCTTTCAACTAATGAAATTTCTCTCTCGCTAAGTCGATCCACTTAATCGAAATCTGCTGAATTCTCGCTGTCTCTATGGACACGTCCAATTGACGAGGTGCTCGACCGTAGCGCCAGGAGGGAACAGAAAGTCGAGTGAAAATCTTCAAGGTACATTGAGAACACCAGATAAGGGATTTCAAAGGATATAAAAGTCAACAACCATCGATTAAGGGTAATCGATGTTAATGGAGTAATTCATGGGAGATTCGCGAATTCAGCCATTGTCAACCTTTACGACACCCGGATACTCGGATAACGTCCGAGATTTTTGAAGAAAATGCGATAAGACTCGGAACGAGGACGGCAACGCGAAAGGTACAGTACGAGCAGCTAGGCAGAATGAACCAGCGGGATACAAGGACGACAATACGATCCCGTTTCCCATTCGCTTTGTCTTTTATTGGGAATCTGATCGAGTCCCAGTGGAAATCAAGTCCTGAAAATCGATGATTAGGATAAATTGAAGCTCGGCCGAAGAATTGGGTGGTAGCCGAGTCTACTTTTATGCCCGCTCAATTTCACCTTTCCAATATTGTCCAGGCTATCGGTTCTCTCGCTCTGGCTCCTACTTACTTTCTCACTCCGTCTCCCTCTCCCGTCTCTCTCTCCGCCGTCCTGTTTCGTCAATTACCTAACCTGCCCGTCCCGACGATGCAATACCTACTTCCCTCTTAAATTACCAGACGCGTCCTAATTCTACAGCAACGAACCATTGTCTTATAACGGTCACCACCTCAATGACTAGTTGCAATGATTGGCCGCCATTGCTCTCCTCGTCTCACAGCTATGCTTTATAATATCTGCATCTTAGCATACATCTGCAAAATAATTCACGATCTCATCCAGAAATTCCTCGCTCGATTTTTTTATTTTTATTTTTATCGTGCCACTGTGTTACGTCATCGTGAGTTATATCGAGAGAGTATCGTCTGGCCAGGAAACGACAAGACCCATATGTACTTGCTGTTGCCTACTCGGACCTGTATTTATATATATACATATATACACACAGCCAATAGAAGACATATCATCGATAGCGCATATCGATACTCATGGTTAATGCACTTTATAATATATATATATCGCCGCAGAGGAATCGTACCTACTGAATTCTGCACTCGTAGATAAGCTCCATGTTGCACCAGGTTCCCTATATTTCCAGTGCAGTGCACACGACTAAGGTTTTTTCCCGTATCCTCCGTCTTCCTATCCTTTCATCTGTCGCGTGTGACCTATGAACTTGCACTTTAGTCAAAGAGACCTTTGTCACTGCGCCAAAGCTCGCTTTACACTTTGTTGCCATTTACGGAAGTCAGATACTAAATGCACTCGAATGCATATGTTACATACCTAGTTTGTATACTACGTGTCAGCGTCATTGTCCCTGTGCTTACGTGACGCTCGTAAAAATCCGTTCTTCTAACAAAGGAACTAAAAAAATTGTGGCTCGTGGAAGGTATCGTGTTAGACTCGGGTACGCGAGGCTGAGGATGCTGAAGATTGTCGTTATAAGAGAAGTTGCAGATTGTCGATATAACAAGAGGTGTTATAGGTAGTCTTTGACTATATCTATACTATACGGGTTGGCCGTGTTGACAGGTTCTGGTAGTTGTGTTGTTTTTTTTTTCCAATTCTGTTTTCTTTTTCGAACAGTCTTTGTGAACTTTTCATCTGACGATGCTGCTTCGTACCGAGCGATTCCGAGGCGCGGAGGTCGGCTTTGATCTTCGCGTGACGGACTGTACTGGATGACGTACATCGATATATCGGCTGGGAAGGGGGGCAATTCGTTTCATGGGATGAACGACGAAATTACACTCTTTGAACGGGGACAATCGGATCTTCGTATTGGATTCGTGCTTGGAAGGATGTACCGGGCTTGTGGGATATTCCGTAGCTTTACTACGTGGCTGCGTAGCTGCGTACAGGAAATGAGGTTCAGAGAAGAAATTAATGATCTTGGAACGAATGGAGATGAGCTGTATTGGTACGGAAATGCAATTGAAGTATTTTTAAGTAAGGTGCAATTTCGTTGGCTGTGGCTGATCAAGAGGTTTACAATTTAGCCGCGCGCTTATAGCGGCGCCACTTGGTAATACCTATTTAGCTCGTTGCTCGTATTCTTTCTTTATTATCCATCGACGGGGGGTAACGGTTTTATTGTGAGCTACGGAGATAAAGGTTTCTTTGATAACCTTTTGCAAAAGTCATTTAAAAGTTTCTGAACGAATTCTCGCAGTTAATGGAAACGTATAACCATTTCGAAGCTGGATGGCGGTATAGGTTTATTGTCCTTATGATTGATCTATCTGTTGGCCATAGAGTTTATAGTTATGGTAATCAAGTTTAACGCGTATACTGTGTATCGAATAGCGACAGGTGGGCGGACGGTAATTACAGTTTGCTCGTCAAATCCTTGTTCCTGTGGGTTAACAGTAATCTACTGGGTGTCACAAAAGTCAATGCGTGTTTTTACTTTTACGAGTGGTTCCGCATGAATATTTGTGGTTTTTGAAGATCATATTGAAATTTTTGTCTGATAATTAGATGGAGGATTTAGGAATGGCAGCTACCGAAGAAGGATTTTTTCTTCTCGCCCTGCTCTGCCATCTAGCGGAAGCTACGGGTAAATCTTTCGATTCGCGTAATCTTTTTTGAAACTTTAACATTATTTTTTTTTACTGCATATACATATGTATACAATCTGTACACGAGTGTATTGCTAACCTCTGACGAATATCGCTCTAGCTATCTACTTTTGAATTAATATCACCTGTAATCCTGCCTAATGAACTTAATTAGTGCCCCTCGCTAATTATGACTAATTACCCCAACTTTCGCTCCCTCTTAACCAATGTGAAAGGTTCCGCAGCTACCCGTGTGATGACGTTGAGGTTCAGACGAAAGGGTTGGTGGATGCTCGGACTGAGAAAAAGTTTAAAATATATGAAGGAAATGACGCCTGAAAAAAAGTCGCATTTTTTTTTTCTTGTTTCACTCTGATATTAATTTTTTGTTTTAAATTTGATTTGCTTTCGTCGAATACCTTTGGCAATTTTATTTCGCCCTGCTCGTAACGCTAGTTCTTGCGTATATTGCGACTAGTAGCGCTGATCGATCGTATGTCACTTGACGCGAGTCATGTATTTTTTTTTTTATTTGGGGTTCAGGCCGTATTTTCAAAATGAAATTTTCAGCTTTTGTGTTGCGCGTTGCGAGTGCAATTTTTCGTGACCTGTTTCGCGTGGAATTTTTTTCTCATTGCACAGCAATGCTACAACGTAACAAAACATTATTGTACATGCTTGTATTGTTGTTCTGTAATATTGTATAATATATATGTATGACTATTCGGGAGGAAAATTTTTCAACAATTTTCTGTCATATTGTTATATTTGTTTTTTTTTCGAACCCAACAACGAACCCAGAAGGCTTCAAGGGTTATCAAAGCGATAAATTCTGTCTGTAGAAATTAATTATCAATTTATTTTCACTAAATTATAATAATCTCTCCTGATCTCCTGTATCGACCTCTTGGACACCGCGTTCTTTATTCCTCTTTCGTCCCTCTCTCCGTGTCTCCCTGTTGCGTTGCATTCGTCGCTTCTTCATCTTCTTATCATCTGTCTCCTCAGGCATATTCACTCAATTATACTTCTTTCCTTCTCTCTTGCTCCAGCGTGACCTCCCTTTCCCTCTTTTTTTCTCTTACCTATTTTCTCAATTTCCTCTGCCGGTCTATACCTTCCACGTAATATCATTCTGGCATCACAATGAACCTGCAGTAAATACGGCAAATAGGCTCGAGATGTGGGGGGTCATGGATTGGTGTCAGCATCCCGTACTGCGCTCTCCGGATAAGCAGTCACGTCAATCTGCGTACGTCTGTGCCACTCCA